TCCACAACTGTTATACGATGAAGAAATTCATAAGCCGGACACAAGAGCACGGGATTTATTGGAAAATTACACAGATATTTTAAATCGTGATTCAGTTCCAATAGAAGCTGAGACAGATGGAGATTGTCTATACCATTCCTGTCGGACATTTTATCCTAATGTTAACACTGATGAAATTCGATTCAGGTGTATTCAAGAGTTATGTTTACATGATCAGTATTATACATCTACGATCAGTAATTTAGATCTTGACCTTGTCGATGATGAATCTGTCGAAGACCATGTATTACGAATCATAAATAATGGAAAGTATACGAGTGTTCTCACTTTAGCCGCTCTGTCATCGGTATTTGATCGTCCTATACGATCGGTATATCCGAATGTTAATGGAGATATCGGTGGTGAAGAAGATGGTTATTATACATTGCTGAATCGGACATTTGAACCACGACAAAAGTCACAAAACCCTTCATCAGCATTGCAAGTTATGTGGTCGGGGCCGAAACCAGAACGTGATCGAATATGGCGCACAAATCATTTCGTGCCACTTCTCTCTACACATCAACAGCAGATGAATACACAATCAGAAATGGATTCTAGTACACTAGTTTCATATCAGCAACATCAATGGTCTTCTTCGCATGAAAAAACGAGATCAAGTATTACTCTGAACGAAAATGAACAAGAACTCCTGCAATTGCCTGCTACCACAATGGATGTTTTGGAACAAGAAGAAAATGATGAAAACAAACCCGACAGCGCAGCATTTTTAGCTCGGCAGACTTTCCTCCATGCGGCTAATGTTATCCAACAAGTCATTAGTGTATCACCTCAAGTAATTGATTCACAACCGCCTAAGGTTATCACAAAAGCTTCAACTTTCATAATTAAGAATAGCGAAGAGAATAAACAATCAGTTGGAAAAGATGGTTGTGGTGTATGGTTACAAGATCGATCTGAGACCACATCATTTGTTTTATGTAATAACAAATCGTATCAAATAGTACGACGTGACAAAAAGGGGAATTTTATTATAATGAAAGAATTGGTAGGAATTATTTATCCCATATTGTTGAAGAAAATTGTCTTATTACATTTAAAAGGTATCAATGTTTACTGTCCGCTCCGTGGACTCTACCTGTTTATTCAATTCTCTTCTAGAATTTATGCTACCAGTAAATCTGATCCAACTTTGCGACGAATGATATGTTATACAACTAAACATGAAGAAAATAATGTTGAATCCATACCAATATTTGTTCAATACGTATGGCAAGAAAAAATCCATCCGTTCAGAAACTAAGTCTCAAGCCTCATGGAAATGCTAGCAAAATCGCGAGACCGTTTACTTCGACTGTCCCAACAGTTTTGTCGTCATTACGGGTTAGTAATATTTTGTTTTAATTGCTGGCAATTTTCATCAATGTCATCATCATGATTTTCCTTTCTTCACCGCTAGAAACAAGCAGGAAAAAAACCAGCAACTATTTATAAAACTTCTACTGAAAATATTGAATCAGTATCATCACCGTTGGTTAACTTTGTTAGAGATCGTACTCAAATATACAATGTACGTCGGCCGAATATCCCGAATGTATAAGAGTATATTTCTGTCATGAAACGTCTAGAAAATCAGGAGGGTGTAATAGCTCACTTTTCAATTGAACGTGGTAAAGCTCTAGTCTTAATATTATCATACGATCATCAGGTGAAAGAGATGAAACGTAATTGCAACAAACTAAATCGACCTCCGTCAGTTTTATGTATGTAATCTACACAATTTACCTAAAGAAGCCATGCATTACATGCGTCTTAGCGTGTAGGCTTAGACACCACATTTAATTTGGGAAATTATTTTGTAACGCCTACCACATTTCGGAACACAAGCCTTCAAAATCGAAAAACAAAAAAGTCACCGGTATTCGTGGGGCCCATAATGGTACATTATCGCAATAATGCAAAAGTATATCAAGAATTATTAACGTATATTAAACGAGCAGCAGGTGGTCAGTCTCCTCCTGTAATAGGTATTGACACAGCAGCCGAGATCAAGGAAGTAGTTGGAGCCATTTTTCCGGACTCGACTCATCTTTACTGCACACGACATGTTCGTCAAAATATCGAACGACACTTGATTAAAAGCCGAGTACCACATGAAGACCGACAAGCATTGTTGGAAATTATCCTCGATGCACCCGAATGTTTGATTCAGTCAGAAACGTATGAAAATTTCGAGGATCGCCTTCCTGAATTAGCAGACGTCTGGCATAACATCAGAAATGCTGATAAAAAGAAATATGAAAATGTCCCCGATTTTCACGATTGGTTTTTGCAATATCAGGCCGAACCCTTCCGAAATCATTCGATAGCTGCTGTGGGAATCAAAGTCGACTATGTTAATCGAGATGGAACAGCTCGTCTATTTTATAATAACGGTAATGAAGCGTTCAATCATGTTTTCAAAAACGAAACTAACTGGGAATTAAGACCATTATCAGATATGATTGACCTTCTAGGTCGATGCATTACAGCTCAAAAGAATGAAACAATCAGGGCAATGTACGACGGTGGCGAACTAGAGTTAGTAGCTTCATACACAAGGTAATCTTTTATTATTTCTTATTTGAAGTTCTCCAAGTTAAATCTACTTACAGGTTTGTTCATGATAATCGTGTATGGTCCAGGAAGACTGCTGAGGAACGTCAAAGTGTTATTTCGAGTTATTATTCCTATAAACCGCCAGTTTCTCAGACAACAACGCCGTTTAATATTTCATCAAGAGCAGGGTGTAAACCCGGCAAATCTGCTGCACGTGGAACAAGTACCACCAGAACTAAGAAAAGATAATGTTATTTCTATTTAGCTACACAAACGTTAGTCATCTTCAGATTGGCACACCAGAAGTAACCAAATTGTTCATGTTTTGTTGCTATCCTGATAACTATAACACAATATTTGTGATCTACGATTCTCGATTGATCAAGTCCCTACCAAAAATTGTTTTTTTCGCTGAATAAATCGTTTTCATA